TCTAAGGAATCTCTCTTGTAGAATAGATCTTGATTAAGATCTATTGATTCATCTTGTTAATAAACTGAATATTACATTTGTCTTAAAATTACATATTGGAATTGGGCTACATTCTAGCTAGTTACAACAAGAACACTATTGTTATCTATCTTTAGATTAACTTAAAAATAATAGTAGAAACATTCTTGTTAATAAGCCTTTTAAAGACTCTTTCAAATATCATTTTAAACATGTGGTCGCTTTTATCACGTGTTTTTGTAATATTAGGTTTAATACTCGTCCTTCTCTCAGAACTCGCACCAAAAAGGTAACAGTACCACTCTCTTAGTTTAGTATTCATGATCACAACTTCATTTTTATATTTTTGTTTTACTTCATTTTTATCTTGTGTTAATACAATACTCATAAGTATTGGCACTAGGAAATCTTTAGAATAATAGTAATCCCCTTTATCTTTATAAATAATTTAATCTTCACTCTCAAAACTTATTATAAACTATATTCGTGGTAAAACCTACCTTTTAGAGTATAGTTTGTAATATCATGTGATTTATCTCGAACCTCCACTTTGCTATATAAGGCCTATGGTTTGCATTTGTGATCTTGTAAACAGAACCTATGGAAGATATTTCAGGATTCAACTATTTTCAAAACAATGGACCGTCAAAGTGGTCACTTATTGGTTTTTTAACATGGAGATCCGAAAAATTGCAGTTATTAGATAGTATAAAAGAGCATAGCGCGTTCAAATTTTTTGTCCAGAAAATTGCAACTGACGAAAATAATACAAAGGCAAAAAAAGCGCAAGAGCTACTTGATAACTGGAAGGTACGCGTTTTTTATAATTTGGCTCTGTTGACAGGCCAAGATTCCTGCTCTTATTGCCTTGTATGAATCGCTGAGTTCTGCAATAATGAGCACAATCAATCGCCGAGTTGATTGGGACTTTTGGCAGGATCGCTGAGTCCATTGCTGTAACACACTAGGTGATCGCTGAGTCAACCCAGTGTTAAGTCGCTGAGCTCGTTACAGTTTGTCATGAGCCTGACGTGTATTTGCATAGGAACACAACATGCGTTGTGCAGTAGATTTTTATAATCACTAACAATTGCTGTGATGTGCTTTTTAGGAGATTAAGTGTTCTCCGGAAGTTAAAGAATTTTGGAATGATCGTAGGACTCAGAATTTACAGCAAGAGCTCCAGAATGCCAAAGCGCAAAATGAACTAAAAACTTTACAGGTTGAAACTGAAGATGTAAGTTTTTGACTGCTACGGTATCTTACATTATTATACAAGTTATGATTAATGCTCCTCTATTAGTTAAGTTATATTCTCGACCGAAGCAGGGAATTGAACTTGCACGCTAATATAATTGGAAACAAAAGAAAATCTAAGTTGGAAAAGATACAGGTGCGCATTTTTTAGCTAATGACATTATTTTGTAAATTTTTTCCTAATGATCTACAATTTTTATCCTTAGGATGAACAACGCCAAACTAAAAGTGGAAGTGACATAAGTGGTGAAGTTCATTTTAATTTGTCCAACAATGCATCAAAAAGAAGTCCGGAAGAGGTACTAAGAAGTATTGTTTAGAAGTTGAGAATAAATCTGTCAAACTAATTATTTTGTGTTTTAATACTTATAGGATGACGATTCTAAAAAAAGACCCGCCAAAAAAAATCGCAACGTTATTGTTGACATAAACATTATACCAACTACACCACCACCACGAACTGCAGAAAATATTGTAGTGATGCTTTTTCCATTGTGTTTTCATCTTATTATATACAGTAGATTTATTCTTCCTTCTTATAATCTAGGTCTCGAATAATGATGACGAAAATGACGATAATGACTCAGAAAGCGACACTGAATCAATTGATATAGATCAGGGTGAAGAAGAAATTGGGAGACTTACACAAGTATTTATTTATCTGCCATCTTTCAATGCTTTTTATATAACTGATAATAAATATGTTTAACTTTCTAGGACGAAGTGGAAATTCGCAACAAATTAATTGCTATTCTAGATTCACAACAAAAAAAGGACAAAGAATTGGGAAAGGACTGTCTATCATCAATATCCCTTAACCATATTATTGATTTCTCTAACGATATAGTACAAAAAAAAGTAAATAAATCATTAAACGAAAACCAAGTCAAATGGATTAATACATTTCTCCAGCAAGAGATCTGGGATCAAACATATGAAAATGAGTTTCGGCAATATATAAATCAATTTACAAAAAAAACGAGTAATAGAAGGAGCGTTCCGATTCTGGTCCGCAAGTCCTTTGTTCCATCTCAATTATTTAATTCCCATACTCACGAAGCTCATGATATCGCTCAACGAATCTTAACTCATTTGTAAGTACTTTTTTTAAAATATTTGAAAACTTCCAAGAAAATATTTAAATATTTTTCTTTATAATAGTTCTGAACGACTTGAAGCGCCATTAAGACTTGAGGTTGAAGGTCTTGATTACGAAAGGACATATGCAATTGATACAGTAATATATATAATAAATAGACTATTCCGTATGCATCAGGATGTAGTTGATATCGTATGGTAAGTATTAATTCTAATTCAAAACATTAAGCTATTGTGTGTTAATCCTTGTTTATCCCATTAGGATCGAGTTAACTACCCCTAATACGAAAAAACACAAAATTGATGGACTTATCAAGATGATCAATTCAATTCAAAAGAATCAAACAATAGTCTTAATCGAGTTTTCATATGGTAGACGAGCACCTTTATCAAAAATAGAAGGTGATGAGGTTAAATTATGCAGAAACTCGATGAGAGTCTTAAATAAGCTATTGAAAGAAACACCTAAGGATGTAGCACAGATTTATTTAGTTCAAACCGCTAGTAGGTATTTTATCACATATATTCGTTGAATGTTGTGTAATAAAAAAGTCAAATAATTCACGTATATTTTTTATAGATGGTTCGATTAAGATCAAATATTTAGTTCGACCCTTGCCGTCAATTTACATTCTTCAATTGTTTACATGCATTAAAATACCTGTAGCTTTGAACAATTTGCGAAGAAAATAGTTGATTTGATGAACTGGCAGGTATGGACCAGGAATATACACATGTTTTATCAAATATTAATAATTGAATTTGTTGCAGGTTGACGTGTTGTCAACTATTCAAGCAATGAAGGAAGCTACGACTGTGGAAAACGCTACTCATATAACGTTAATAGATGACACTCCGCAAAAGAAAAAAAGTAATAAAAATCAACCTTTGCCTAAATCCCCATCTCCCGATTCCTCACCTCCCAGTTCCCCATCTCCTGGTTCCAAATCGTCGGGTCGCGATTTGATGCGCTATCTAGATTCACCGGTTCATGAAAAAATCGATTTAGAAAATACGTTATTTAGAAAAAAAAATTCAAAAAATTGATATCAACTGATTTTACAATGTATCATTCAAAAATTTTTTATAATAAATGATTTGTAAAATTTTCATTGGAATTTTTGACGACGGGCCGTCGCTGAAATTTTTATTACTTTAGTTACGCATTTTTAAATAAATAAATATATACAATTTATCACTAAACATGCAATCTGAAATTGATTCACTAAAGCAACGGATTTCTGAGCTTGAAGTCGAAAAGGCTGAGCTCGAAGCCAAGAATGCCGAACTTTTAAAACAGGTTATGGAAGAGAGCACCAAACGCGAAGCTGAGAATGTTGAGCTCAAAGCCAGGATCGCCAAATTGGAACAGATCGCAGAAGAGAATTCTGAGCTTAAAGATAGAATCACGAAATTGGAACAGAAACAGACCCAGGCTACTACCAATGAGCAGGAAGTATCTCCTACAAAAGATATTTCGCCGCTTATCGAGAGCCATTCTTATGAGGAGAAGGGTGTTACCCACCCCTTGCCTGAAATAGAATATAGCTCAACCCAGGCCCAAAGGGGCGAATCTTTAGATTCATCTGAATCTTCAACGGAACTTGAAACGTCTGCAACCTCTCCGCCACAAGACATTATCGATGACGATTCAGCTGAGACCCTAGATTTTGTAGAAACGGTATATAAGGAAACTGTCAGTAAAGAAATAATGAAGAGAATTAGGAAGAAAAAACTTCAAGAATCACATAATAACTTAACTCCACCTATGCAATCCGAAGCATCAACCATGTCGACACCTCTGGACTCGAAAACTGTGAAAAAGCTTTTGGATCAGAATCAGCGGAGCTGGCACGGCCAAAATAAAAGCCTGGACAAAACGTCCCAATCGCACAAGAAAAAGGGAACAGAGAATATCGCTCAAGTGATAGCTGATGGCATTCAGGATAATAAATATTCTTTCAGGTGAAACAAAGGTTCAAAGTTTTGCTTCCTCAAATCATGTGACTGAAGTTTCAGCGACGGGCCGTCGTCAAAATTCTTCTACGATCTCAATACTTGACTTGGCACAATTATTTGATAAAGCAACTAATGCTGAATATTATGCTAAGAAAGCTAACCAGGAAGAAACCTTATGCTGGATCAACTATGGAAGTGAATTCATAATTCAGTATAATGATCTTATAAAAAATAGTGATAGCAATATTGGTGAGAAAAAGGAAAAAGGTATAATTTATGATAAAATATTAGAGCATCTTACTATTATCCGTGAAAAAAGGTCCAAGGAAATGGGATTACAACTTCCAGAAATCTCGCGTAAAACTTTATGTGGAAAAACCCAAAGGGCTATAAAGACTTATAAATTATTCGAAAAAATAGGTATAGATAAAATTAAGTATCTTAAAGCATACAGTGCAAATTCTATTTCAGAACTGACCAACGATCAAATCCAAAAGATTATCGATAATATTTCTGATTATAAAGAGTCCAATATAAAGGAGGAATCAAATCACATGACTGGAATTTCAACGACGGCCCGTCGCCAAAATCATACAACCGAAATTGTAAGTACTTTACCAGAAACTGAGGTAAGTGCATTTTCTGAGAAGGTATCACCGGAAAAATTATCAGAAACGATTTCAGAGGAATCAACCGAGGCAAATGCATCATCCAATCCAACTCATGACCATACTTATTTTCGTAATAAAATATTGTGGCGATATTCTGATCTATATAAAACATTTAGTAACAAAAAATTTGACTATTATGGAATTATTGAGGGATCATTATGTCCAATATGTAAACTAAATCATGAGGATGGGAAAAGTGTAAAAGGTAAATATGAAGCTGGATCCTACTTTATTATATGTGGAAAGCGTGAAATCGAAATAACAGCATAAGCCACACTAGCTCTACTAATAAAGATGATTATTTCTGCCAATTCGTTTCTCTCATTATTGGTGAGGCATATATATTCAAAAGTAGATAACTACACAAGCCAGTGAGTGAACAGTGATATTTTTTTTTCTTTGACAGCCACGCTATTTTGAATTGACTTGTATTCTTATGAATGATAACATGTCTTCTAACACTATTTTACACGATTATTCGCCCATAACTGCCTCCGGCAAGATGTTAACTGATGACTACTATAAATGGTATGCCGAATTGGATGATTTATCAACTCCTTTGACTGATAAAATTCGTTTGATCTTATATAGAGCATATACGGAAGAAACTGGGCTTGATCCCTGGATAAACTCTGAAACTTCCGAATCTAAACAAATCGAAAATGCTGATAATCATCTTTCGCAAAATTGTGTTATCAAAATTTTTAAGTTTCCAGAAGAAAAAAGCACAATCCATGAAGTCATACATAAACGTTTTCCTTTTCTATCATATACTAATTCAAATGCATGGCACCGGGATGTATTCAAATATACCGATTCAGAAGCTAAATGCCCGATATGTAAAGAGATACATACACATCAAGGCATATGGGGTGATTGGAGCTGTCTAGGTAAAGATGATCACTATGTTCTTAATTGTCCATTTCGTAGTGATCAAAAGAAAGTTATAATTGCTGTACAGAGTTTGCCGGAAGCTCAGATAAGGGTATCAAGCAAAATCAGTAACTCACCAATCCGTCCAAACAGAACCCGCCTTTATCAGTATGCCATCGAACATGAAATAAATCCCAAAGAATTTTCGGTCATTACTGAGGCTGAGAAAAATAGGTGGCCCATGGGATGTTTTCGTGGGGATTTGGAAAGAGATATACGTTTCTATCGTGGTGAAATAGAAAGAAAAGAAAATATCGTGAATTTTTAACTGATCGGGAAAGGCTGGTTGGTGAAGAATTATCGCGTCGCAGTATAATAAAAAGCGGTTTAAGTACTGCATGGCTTGATGATCTTATGGAAGAATGGGAAAAAGTCCATACTCAATTCATACAAACTTTCTCTCCAGATGAGGTAACAACGAAGGCATAGAATAAAATCTGCTTTTGTATCAATGACCACATAAATCATTTTCCGCGATCACATGGGGTTGCTCCCTTGTGGCATGCATGCGGATTAACACTTGATTATTATCACTTGCGAAATACGAAATAAATTTTTTTACCGAAATGGTATGCACGAATTCGTGAAATATGGGAATTCACTATTGCGATAAATAATTAGTGATTCTTACCGATTAGAAAATTTGTGGAAAAAATTCAAACGTTTATTTTACAAATTTCAAGTGCGAAAGGGTGTTCTGGGCCAGAACGGTATCACGTGATCGTAGCGCAGTAAATAAGCATGGAAATTTCAGATACGCATTAATTCTTTTAAAATCAGTATAAACGAATTCTGGTAACGAATTCTGGTAACGATGCTACACGGGAACAGGTTCCCTAAATATCGGATTAATAAAATATTATTTATCAGAGGGGAAGTTTTCGATGATATATTTGACCTCACTTCTAGTTAAGTCAGAAAAGCTAGATGCAGTAAATGATTTAACGCGCGAAATTTTATCTTCTCCAATTTTGCTAAATACATCATAAATTTTTCTAGCAGTGTCTGTTCTCTTTCGTACCATAGCATTATTGAGGTTTTTCGGAAGATGTTCTCTAACTTCACCGTTCAGTTCTGTATATGTCGTTTGCGGGGGTTTACTCTTCAATAATTCAATGAGTCGTTCTGATAGAGCTTTCCCGAACTGAAAATAACGATAAATAACATTCCGATTTGTTTGATTCCCGCTCTTTTCAACATTATCAACTTCATAATACAGGCGATAGAGTTTAGTGGATATCTCTTCCATGTTGGAATCTTCGGAAGGTGCAGTGATTGATGATTCATCGGAAATTTCCACGACTGATAACTCTCGAATTATGACTTGCGGTTTTGGGATCCTCCTAGGCTTATTTTCATGAACGTTATCTTCCTCTTTCTTCCTTTTCTTTTTGGGAGCTTCGTTAAGTGAGATGCTAGGTGAGATATAATATCCTTCTTTTTCCAGATCATCCGCCGATGGACATTTAGGACATAAGTTACGCTTGCTAGCGATACACTCGAAATGGATAACATGTTTACACGTCAATAATACGACCGGCTTTGATCGCTCTGAAGAGATGGATTCGGAGCACTTGGAGCATATTTCAGTAGTTGGCTTGAGCGGTGAAGCATTCTCATCTATTGTGTGGGCAGTATCTTTTTCTTGAGCTTTATTATTCGTGTCGCTCTGCAAGGGGTCACTTTCGAATAATTGAGGATCTCCAGTCATAAAGCTAGAAAGGTCCTTCTGCCCAGCTATCGTGGATAATTGTGGTGATATCTCCATTGGATCTTGTGTTCCTGTCTCACTAATATCTGAGGTGAAGGAGGTTTCAATGTCTTTGTATCTGCATCCCATATTCGGACATCTCGCTCCCACAGTTAGTATATGTTTTTCGAGACACTTTTGATGATAGAGACATCCACAACTGGCCATCGTAAATTCTTTGATTGCACTTGCGGGGTGTGGAATCGCATCAAGAACGTTTTCGCAAAGATTATAATTTGAGTTTTATCCATACTCGAGCAGAAAAAAAAATCATACCTAATACACTTCTCACTTCCTATTTAACGCTCTGTATGGACGATATGATGTGCCGAAATTTACATGTCCCAACTCGAATTGGCATTACGTCCGAAATTGTGTATGGGAGAGATAGCTCGATTCGCAGTGATAGGTAAATTTATTCATTCTTAGTGAGACTCGAGATCGGCGAAAAACATGGAAGTTAATCAAAAAATACCAATGGGGGTTTATGTGAGAAATTGGGTCGCACGAAGCTAGTTATATCGGCGATCCGTGGTATTACGCAATTGCCGAAGGCGGTCACAAACGTGGCTATACACATGTTCCGCGAACTTCTATGCTGATCTCCGATTCGCTGATTTAAAACACTCCCCCTGAGGCTCATTATATTGTGATGGGATTTCGAAGTTACGATGTGGTTATAATTATTTTCAGATTGAATTTGCTATATTCACTTAATTTATATATTTATGCGTTATTTTTTCCGCATTAATTATATTACCATATTTTAACAATTATGACGAGTAATACTAATAATAAAACTGATCCAAGTGAAAAATTATACGAGGTGTTTTTATATAAGAAAAAGGATATAACAGCTATTCAGAAAAAACTAGGTATTAACAGTAATATAAATCAAATGGCAGTGTCAGAAAGCAAGAAAGTGAAAAAACTTGCTGATTCATATGAATTGTTATTAGAATTGGTAGGGGATTTAATAGTTATACAGGGGAAACTTGATATAGATATCAATCCCATTTTAGAAGCAGAACTTAGAAGGGATAAAATCTCTTCAGATAAATCAATTAGATTATTTGATTTGCTTTCATGCTTAGAAGATAATATAGTGATAATTCAGGAAAAAATCAGTATTGTTGGTTATACTAATCAAGAAAGGACAGAAGAAGCTGATGAAAATGCAAGAGTGTATCTCTAAAAGTTTGAGAAATTTCATGATCCATTAGAAGATGTTCCAAGTGTATTAATACAGAAATTCATTAATAGGGAAGTAAAAATATTTTATTTTACTAGAGAGAGACTTCTATTATTTCTGAATATTTCTTCTCAATAATTACATGAAATTTTCATAAAAAATTATGCTAGCACCAATCAATACTCATGTCTTGAACAGGTTAGCTAATTTATCTTTAGAAATATGATCTAATCAGCTTTATTATGAAACTTACTTTTATAATATTTTTGAATAGGAGATATAATTTTTTTCTTTATAATATGAACATGATTCTTTTGAGATTTTTTGAGATTCAGATTATATCGGTCTGAATCTATAGATTCTAAATCAGAGCTGGATGAACTAGTCTCTGTCTCAGATTTCTTAATCTTGCTAATTCTTCTATATACTAGAGATATAAGAAATATGTTATCATAATATCTCTTTCATTACTTATTATCTCTGCTATACATCATTTTGAATTTTCTCAATATTCTTCAAAGTGCTCAGCCTTTTTATTAACTCATCTAATAAAAGATTCAATTTATATCTTCTAATTTCTATCTGATTCTTGGATGACAATTCATGAAGAAATTGATATTTAAGCAAATTTTCATTATATCTAACTAATTTATCATATTTTTTTACTTTTGTGTAATATTCTATTATCAAATTCTCTTCTTGTCTCAAATCTCCAAATCAAAACTTTTGAATATCAGTAGATCCAGTTGAGATTCTATTCAAATGATTAACTATTTCATTCAGAGACTTTTTAAAGCTAAATTTAATTACTTTTTTTTTATTATCTTATAATAGACTATTAAAGAAAGTTTCCTTAAGAACTTGATTATCTAAGTTAATATTCAATACTATAGCATATATCTTTATCATCTTGAAGTAATTATTCACAGACTGATTAAGTTATGTTGATGATAGAATTTTTGATCTAATAACTAATTATATATCAGTTCTATCAAGCAATATAAGAGTTTTATTTGAAAAATTCACTTTTATTATATTTTTCTAGAATCATGGCTAATCTAGTATCAGTATAGAATCAAATTCAGATTTATTGATAACAAAAATATCAGTAACTTTTATTTATTTCTATTTAAAACTCTAAGACAGGATTGAAATAGAAATTTCATAAATTACTCTTACTATATTGAGTTTACTAATAGATGTGTATATTTCTACATCAGAGATATCATCAATTTCTAAATCTAATTCATTTATCACATTCTCAGCTATAATATTACAATTACTAGTAGTACCTAATATAGTTTTAATTGATATTTTATTAATTTTACAAGATAAAATATATTTTTTTCTGTGTATTAATAATAAATTAATTAAAATTTAATAGTTAACAATAGTCATAAAATAGTTATCTCTGGTAATAATAGCTTAAAACTAGTATCTAAAATTATTAAACAGATATCACATAGAAGAATTTCAATTTTTTTTCATCAATTACTGAAAATAGTAAAACCTGAAATTGGATTAGAAATTATTAACTTAATAGTGAATCCAAATATTTCTCAAAGAAATCATACACCATATAATAATTTTGATTGGGTTATCTTTCTTTAGATTTTTTTTAGCTTAGATCTTTATTTTGCGCTATCTGTATAACAGATTGGTTTTGTATCATATTTTTAAGAAGATCATTTTCACTCTGGATATACAAATGATCATTATATATTAAATACTTCTAGATTTAGCATATAGTTACTCAGATAATCATCATGTGTATCCATATTATTAATTTAGATTATTAATATTTTTCTTTTAATAATTCTTTATATTTTTACTTGCTCTTCTTTATTATTATTTATATCATTTATAATTTATTGAATTATGATTAGTAGCTCTCCAGAGATGCAAATTAAGATAATTAATTTTATTTAACTATATGTAATTTATTTAATTAATTATTTCTAATTTATTCGTATTTTGTGTTCAGTCTCTTTTCTATAAATATATATTTTCTGTTCTGTAATTTATCTTAGATTTGAATACTTTTAAATAATAAAAATAATTATAAATTATAAAATTAAAACTTATTTGTATTGTATTTTATCTTGTTTATAAATATTAACAAAATAATCTTATAACTTGATAGTAGCAAACACAGTTATTACAAACATCATCCTCTAACATCTTATACTCATACATCATATACTACACACTTTACATACACAAATTTTAGTTTTATTTAAATAATATTTTGTCAAAATGAATCAAGATCAATTCACATAATTCATGACAAGCATGGCTGAATTAATCAAGATAGTTAAAGAAGATGATCCCTCTGGTCCTAAATCTTTATCTCACCTTTTAGTCAAACTACCTACTTACTCTGGAGAATCAAATAAAAATATACTTGTCTGGATAATACAAGTCAAAACTATATTCCAGGCCCAAGGAATCACAGAAGAGAAAACTCAAATACAATATGCTACCACTTCCTTAACTGATGCAGCTTTACACTGATATCTCAACAAAGTAAAGGTAGATGATAGTATTAAATCTTTTGAAAATTGGCAAGCCTTTGTTACAGCACTTAGAGAAGCCTTTCAATTATCACACTATTAATAACATCTCCATAAATAACTTTATCTTCTTCATCAAACAGGATCTGTTCAAGACTATGGCACAAAATTCAGAAATATAGTTGAACAAATCACAGATATGAGTACTTTAGATTAGGTCATATACTTTATAAAAGATCTAAAATCTGCCACAAAGATGAAGATAAGTTATCAAATATCAAAAATCTTAGAAGAAGCTTGGAAGTTAGCTATTTGCTATGATATAGCTATGTATGAATAAGACAGATCTTTGGGCTTATCAAGCAGAAATAATAATAGTCATCACTCTCAAAATCAGCACAAAAATCATCAAAATAATGGGCCAATATCAATAGAACTTGATCAGACAGAAAGTTATTATAATAATAAAAGAAATAACAACAATCAGAAGAATAACAAGTTCAAAGGTACATATTATAACTATGGCAAACCAGGTCACTTTGCAAAGAATTGTTATTTAAAATCAAAGATCAAAATAACAAATATTGAAGATAAATAAGAAGAATCTTTACAATCTTATGAGAGAGTTGAATTTGCTCATCTTGAAAATAACAGAGAAAGATTATTGAAATTTAATGGTCAAGTAAATGGCAAATCAGCATGAATACTACTAGATAGTAATATTTCAAGAAATTTTGTTGATGAAAAATTTGTACAGAAGAACAAAGTCAAATTACAAAAGACAATACCAGTCACAGTTGAACTCGCAGATGGCAAAAAAATTACTGTCATCATCATGGCAAAGATTGATAAATTGAAGTTAGATACATATAAAATGCATAAGATGGATGCCCAGATACTAAAATTGCAAAGATATAATCTTATCTTAGGTAAATCTTGGTTATTTCATGCTAATTTCACTATAGACTGGAGAAATAATATCATAATCTTTACCTATAGATCCAAAATAATAAAAATACAAGCTAATAATGAAGTTAAATCAGATTAAGCTGCAATTTAATTTATATATCAAGATAATAAATTGCAAACCTATTCGCAGATGCAGAACTCTTCACCATACATCTTAATAATGCTGAAGATAAAGAAGAAGCAAAAGAAAAGTTACTTTCACCAGAAGTATTAGACATAAAAAAAAAATACAAAGATATATTTCCTGAAACCTTACCAAATCAACTATCATCTAAAAGAGTAATTGATCATAAAATTGATCTCATTTCAGGATCTGAATCACCATCCAAACCCACCTATAGACTTTCTTTTACAAAAATGGATGAGCTCAAGAAATAATTAGCTGATCTTATTCAGAAAGGTTTTATTTACTCTAGTATCTCACCTTTGGAGCACCAGTTCTTTTTGTACATAAAAAAAAAGATATATTAAGATTATGTATTGACTACAAAGCTTTGAACAAAATCATCATCAAGAATTACTATCCTTTACCAAGAGTTGATGAGTTGATGGATAGACTCACAAATTCAAAATACTTTTCAAAGCTAGACTTATATTCAGAATATCATTAAATCCATATTGCAGAAGAAGACATTCATAAGACAATATTTAGAACTTGCTATGGATACTATGAGTTCTTGGTCCTACCCTTTGGCCTCACCAATGTATCAGTCATTTTCATGATGCTTATGAATAACATATTTCATGATTATTTTGATAAATTTGTAATCATTTACTTAGATGATATCTTAATTTATAGCAAAACAAAGAAAGAATACATTCAATATTTACAAATAGTATTAGAAATATTTCGCAAATACAAATTGTATGCCAAATAGAAGAAATATGACATCATATAACAATATGTAAAATATCTTGAACATTTTATCTTAGCAGATGGTATCTCTGTTGATCAAAGAAAAATTACCACTATTAGAGATTAGCCAGCACCAACTAATATATCAGAACTTTGCTCATTTCTAGGTCTAGTAAGTTATTACAGAAAATTTGTGAAAGGTTTTTCAGCAATTGCCTTATCACTTACAGCACTCCTACACAAAGATCAAGAGTATAAATGATTTATAATAGTGCAACAAGCATTTGATACTCTTAAATAACATCTCATATCAGTATCAGTCTTGTTATTATCTGATCCAAAACTACTATTCACAGTCACCATAGATGTCTTAGATTTTACCATTAGAGCTGTGTTAAGCCAAAACCAAGACAAGAATAATCAACCAATTGCTTTTGAATCAAGAAAACTTTTACTAGCTAAATAAAACTACCTAGTTCATGAGAAAGAATTACTTGTAATAGTTCATGTAATTAGACTCTGGAAGCCATATTTAGAAGGTCAGAAATTCACAGTTATTACAGACCATACCTCCTTAAAATATATCAAAACATAATACAATCTTTTCAAGAGACAAGCTTGCTAGTTAGAAACTTTACAGATCAGTAACTTTGAA